AAACCAAATTCTACACCTATTCCTATAATCAGGATGTGAGTTTTTGCTTGCCTACCTAAATTATGTTATTAACATTTAGTATCCACCAAATACCACACTACACCCTACAATACCCAATACAGCTTCTAGAACACTACAGGTACCCCAAAAATGGAATTGCTATTGTTAGTGAATAGATTCTACAAAAGAACAGGGCAGTCAAAGTCAAACATTTATATAGACCACCCACTATTTGCCAAGTATTTTGCTAGTACCATGAATATAAAAATGCAAGGAACTTACAATGAAGAGGGACAAAAAGAACCACATAATTATAAAACAACAGAATATATGCAATAGCAAAAAAATATGTAAAGTGCACTGGAGCACACAGGGATTGTGGCGGTGGGGGGCTGGGAGAGCATGTCAAGGACTATAACCCAGGTCTGACAAGGAATCCCCTTCTTGTTTCCAGTTAGGAGAAATTCATAAACCATTATCTGAAAAAGCATCCACTAAAGTATAGCCTCAACTCAAATTCTCTAACTTTTACTTCCACTCAATTCCATCCATCAATTTCAAAGAAGGGAGAGTAAAAAAGAGGAAAAGACAACTTCAAGTTGGCACAGGAAGGGTTTAAGTATCCTTTTACTGTCCTACAACCACATAAAAACTGAAATCACATTTTTCCAAATCTTTCTTACACTCATGATAAAGACTAGATGTTTTACAAGTTTACAAATCACCCGTTTTAAGCCTTGTGTAAGATAAATCACCAAAACCTATTCAGTATGTACGTTCTTCTACACCAGCCAAATAGTGCCTCTGCAGTTATTTTGCTTAATCCAACTAGGCCAACAAGGTATCCAAAACCTTAAATACTGAATAAACTTTAGCAAATTTTCTCTATCAATCCACACTCTTATTCAAGACATATTCACTTAGTAAATTTTTACAATACAATACTGACATTCAAAAAATGAATATTTGGTTCTTCCTCCTAAAATAAACCTCTGTGGGAAAGTGACACATCCAACAGCTACCAGTATAAATGAAGACCCATGGGAACAAAGAGACTACTATTTGTATCCTTTCATGGATATCTCACTTGACACTTCACAAAACAATCCTGTGTAATATAAGATTATCTCCATTTTTTTTTTTTAACTAGTTTGCTCAATTAACAGGTCAGCATATAAAACCTGGATCTTCTGACCCTGATTGTACTACATTCCAAAATGTATACAAAATTTATCACTACCACAAATGAAGATACTTCAAAGAGCCTAAACATACACATAGGAAGGAAACAGCTTCCTCACCTATAAAATGAGCAAAATGTGGCCTATTTGACATCCTTGAGCTAAACAAGGTCCCAAGGTGGGGCCTACTGCCCAGAAGTTTTACCCAACTAGTCTAACATAGAACTAGGCCTGGAAACAAGGGGAGTAGCATATATTTAAGGCTTACAAGTGTATAAAGAACCTTCTATTACCATCTGATCCTCACTACTCAGTTAAGGATTATCTTTATTTTTACATATTTTTTTTAAAAAAATACATCAGTGAAATAATGTGATTAGTTCAAGGTCCCCCAGCTAGTAAACAGCTTAGACAAATCTTCATAACCCTATTACACCTTTTTATATGAGAAAGTCAGAGTAGCTAGTGGAAGCCTGGACTATGCAAAAATGATCCAAGAATGTAAACACAAAATCTTCTGAGCTCTTCTTAGCCACTAGGCTACATGCAACTATTTTAGATCAGACAAGCGCCTCTTTCAGTAAAAAGAAAAAAAGTCTTAAGAAACAAACCAACTATTTTTAAAAATGCACTTAAAAGGCACACTGTACATGCCTATACACGCATTCACATACATATAAACACACACTTCAATCACAAAGTATCTTACACTTTTGAAACATTACATAAATGAAACGTAAGAATAGAACTAAATAGACAGGACACAAAGAGTACCAGCTTTTTGGTCTCAACCTTTCCACTGTCCTGTATAAGTAATGTGCTTTTTCATTTTTTAAATATTCACCTTTAAGCAAAATATTAACAAGTAAATCTATACATACATTTTACTCATGTAAAATGCCTATGGCTGTTTCAGGAATATAAACTATATTCAGTTATCTTGTGTGTAAGATTACATTATACACAGTGAGAATGCTATTCCTAAAATTAAAGTCATCTGAAAGATATCACTAATACTTCTACCATAATATATTCACCATATCCTCTATTCAGAATTCTGACCAACTTAGTTGGAAATATTCTTTGAAACATCAGAAGTACATCTTAATATAACCAAAAAGGGCTCAACTTAAAAGGCTAACATTTACGTCCCGCAGTACTTGAAAGCATGATGAAGACTAAGCATATATTAATATAAACTGAAAAGCCCTTTCTTAAGACCAAAATATATCAAAGATTTTGCAACCAGCACAAGATCTTATCCCTTACCAATCTCACTTCTACAGATAACTAAGCAAATCTGCGTACTACCTGAGTTGCACAAACCACCCACCAAATAATACAGTTCCTTCCAAAGTGAAAAGCTGATCCTCTTTCCTGCTCTTAAATTATGCAAAATTAGCCTACAAAGAATTACTGTAGACTGCTTAAATAAACTTCAGACCTGTGTACCAAGTTCTATATTTATGTTGCTGAAAAACATCAGTGTGGTGCCTCTCTCCCTACACTTCATCAGGAACAGACCCAAGAAAAAAGCTTAAAAAAGAGAAGTTACTTTTTATTAGAAAACGAACTTTTCAGTGAAGACGTAATTTACCTGTGACAGACAACATCTATACATGACAGTGATTAAACTTTACTGAATACCCAAAACGGTAACTTTTTTTTAGTTCACAATCTTTGAATTAGACAATTATGACGGTTTTTATTTAAAAATAACCCACTTTTGGCCAGGCGCCTGTGGCTCATGCCTGTAATTCCAGCACTTTGGGAGGCCTAAGCAGGCAGATCAGAAGGTCAAGAAATCAAGACCATCCCGGCTAACACGCTGAAACCCCATCTCGACTAAAAATACAAAAAATTAGCCGGTCATGGTGGCATACACCCGTAATCCCAGCTACTCAGGAAGCTGAGGCAGAAGAATCGCTTGAACCAGGGAGGCAGAGGTTGCAGTGAGCCAAGATCGCATCACGACAGTCTCTTTAAAAAAAAAAAAACAAAAAAAAAAACAACCCACTTTCACTGTTTTACATTTCTCAATGTTAAGATAACTTTACCCAAAGTTTGAAACAACTGATAACTTCTGGTCTGCAAGATCCCTACGGCATTAAATCTCTAAAACAGAAACCAACAACATAAAACATTACAAGATATAACAGTATGTATATTACAGTTCCTGAGTTTTCAAGGACATCAGTAACTCGATTTTTAAAAAAAAGTCATGCTCGAACATATGACTAAAAGTTTTCAAGCCATATTTTACAAAGATTGTGTTTTTTGGTTTGTATAATTACTTTTTAAACTGATCGCTTATATTTCAAAATAACTTGTGAGAAATCAAGGGAAAAGGGGTTAGTCACCTAGAGACACAACATTAAACTCACTCTTTAAGGCCATCATAAAGGTAACTTGGAATCAGAGAAAAAAATTCAAATTCACAGTAAGCCTAAGTGAAAATACAGATACATCACAAAATATATACATATAAAAGCAAATTGAAACATGTTCGACCTTGATAGAAAAAAAATGAAAAGCAAAGTTTAAAATGGAAACTACTGAAATTGAGAAAGAATTCCAATGACATGACATTTTCTTGCCAAAGCGAAGGAATTTGTAGATATCATTCAAATCTCATTGTATTACATTATAAAGGTCTTGGCAACGGTTGGCCATTAATCTTTAACACAAAGGAGATTCAAATCCAAATGAACTGTAAGACTATCTCTTTCAAGAGAGAGAAATGGAGTAATGTACTTTGTCCACAATTGTTTAACCCAAAAGGAAGGCCTTTAAGGATGATAACGCAGAATGGATCAGCCTTCAGTCTACCAAGTCCCATTTCTCACGAAGTCTTGCACCAATCCGAAAAGAGAAGGTTATGGACACAAAACAGGCTTAGGAAAGGCTGGAAAAAAATCTCCAATGAATGACACACCACATCATGGTTTATTCTCCTACACAATTTGAGAAACAAAAAAGAAAAATATCACACCATATGTTCCATCGTATCAATTTAAAAAAAATGTTACGACAGTACATTCAATTCTCTTCTTCGGGGCCGCAAAAATAATTTAGCTCCTGTTTTATTGATTACAGAGCAAAGGGAAAAAGCAGCTGCTGCAATGCAACACAGGCTGCTACAGAGAAAGGGGAGAAAGGGGAGAAAGGGCTTTTCCAAACAGAGCCCTTCCCCACCCCCGCTTACACACCCCTAACGACTTACTTATCCCAGCCTTTTACTGCCCCCACCACGTGAACCTAAGCCGTTCTTTCCCTTCCCCCACCACCGTGAAATTTCACCTTTCACAGCGCCTTCACCTACCCCTACCAGAGGCACTTCATTCCCCGCAGAGACTTCAGACCTTTCAAACTTTTCTTCCTTTTTTAATTAAACACGAGAGTTAAGAGGCAAAAGTGCATGAAATTTTTACATATATACGGAAAAATACCTGTTTCCCAGCAACATACACGCTTCGATTCTCGAACCCCTCCCCATCTCCCGGGTTTCGCTAGCAAAGGCTGGGGGGAGGGAGCCAGGCGCAAATTAAATTTAGGAAGGGAAATCCTGGGTGAAAGAAGAGCATTTGAGGAAAAACGAGAGAAAGGTGAAGCGAGACCCCCGAAACCACAGGGGTTGGGGAGGTTTCCAAGAAAGAAAGAGAAATTGGAAGGGACAAAAGGGGGAGGGGGGAGGAACAGCCAGGAGACCCGGGGAGACGCGCCCGGCCGGGAGAGGGAAGGCGGGGTCCGAGGAGAGCGGGGGGTCGCGGCTCCCGCGGCACAATGGCCCGCCCGGCCCCCGCCCCGCGCGCCCCTCACCTCATGGTGCCGGCGGCGCAGAGGCTTCCCCAGCAGCCGGGAGACGCGGGAGGCGCCGAGCCGAAGGGGGTCTCTCCTCCAGGGGCGGGGAGCAGCTCGGAGACGGGAGACAAGTGTCCGGCTCCTTCGACGGCCAAGGGCTACAACATCTCCTCGCACAAAGCCGAGGCGCCGGCCGGGAGTGTGAGAGAAGGGGGCGAGAGAAAGGCTGGGGAGGGGGCGGAGAGGCCGAGGCACGGAGCGGGTCCCCAGGCGGCCGCCGCCTCCCACCTCCTCGTGGTCCTGCTCCTCCTCCCGGAGCTTCCTCGGCCGCCCTCGGAGGGGTGCCCGCCGGGGCCGCGCGCCCGGCCGCCGCTCCACAGGCCCGCGCCCGCCGCGCCGCCGCCGAGGCCGTGTGCAACCGGCAGCTGCTGCAGCCGCGGGAGGAGAGTCGGGATCGCCGCGAGGAGCCCGGGAGGAGGCGGGGCGCACGGCGGAGGAACACGCAGGCGCCGCCCTCCTCCCCTCCTTCCCCCGGGGGCGAGGGGGCGGCGCGGGGGGAGGGGAGGCGGGGGGCCGGGCGCGCTCCCCCGCGCCGGCGGCTGGGCCCCCGCCGGACTGCGGAGAGCGGGTCTGGGCGGGAGCGAGCGCGGCGGCGGCGGCGGCAGCGGCGGCAGAGTGAGGCTCTTTGTTACCTCCCTACCCCGCCCCCTGCAGCCCCCTGGGATTCGGGCCGGCCATCCCCCCGACACCTCCCGCCCGCAGTCGGCCGGGGTTCCTCGCCCAGGGTTGTCCTTGACCGTCGGCCCCCTCCCAGTCGCCTCCCGCTCCCCAGAGGCTGGGGGAGTTCCAGGGCCTTCCCCGCGGCCGCGGTGCGGAGACCGAGGCGCCTAGACCTCCCGGGCGCCGGACCCGCAGGCACCGGCGTGGGGAGCCGGGACGCGTGACTGGGCACAGGGCCGGACTGGGGGACTCCGGTCGGCTAGCGGCCGGCTGCCCTAGCGCGGGGCGAGTGCTTAGCCCGCCCTCTTGCGGTCTCGGGAAGGGGACGAGGGAATCGGGGGGGTATCCCGGTTAGCCCCACCACCCGCCCCCGTCGCGGCTGCGCCCAGCGATTCCTGCGGAGTTGAGGGGGGCATATAAATGGAAAATATGGTCATCATTGTTCCTTTCGCTCCTTGTCTTCCCAAGGAATCCCAGCGTGCTGCGCCGATGGAAGGAGCTGTGCACACTAGGTATAGGGATGACTTCATCCCCTAACGAACGCAGCCGACTCTCGGGGAAACGCAGTCGCCGGGAGACGCGTGCGGAACCGTGTGTTGCCACAAGAGTGGGAGAAGAGAAACGCCGCCAGTGGAGCGGCTTTCCAGCGTCATTAGCAAAGAGGGAACCCCGGGCGGGGGGCGGGGAGGGAGAGGAACTAATGATAGTTCTAAATTTTCCATCATTCCCAATGGTCTTGAAATCACCTCCCTTAATAAGTAGATAGAAAATACTGGCGAGGCAAATCTCATTTCAAGTCAAGTCAGGGAGGAGGGATTCTAGAAAGCCAGAATTGGTCGTTATGGGAGGGTTTGGGGGGTTTTTTTCTATCTGAAAATAAATACAGTAATAAAATTTTTAACGTACGAATTGCAGCCCCTTTTCAGTCCCGAAACAGGGATGTACTTTCTGTATAAAAGTTGAAGAGGATGGAAAAGGGTTATTGCTACAGGGATGCTGTTACTGAAGGAGCTCATCCAAAATGGAGGACCTACCATGACTCCAGGAATCCATTCAAAAGTTTTATTTTAAGATGCAGGTACCATTCAAAAGATAGTTATGAAGGTTGGGAAAACGGACACTTCCAAATGAAAAGACAAGTTATAGTGATCCGTGGTCAATGCCTGACTTGTCTGTAAAAGAACTGTGAAGCCTGCTTTTAAACATAAAAAAGCTTCCTGGTTTCAGCCAGGCGAGGTGGCTCACGCCTATAACCCCAGCACTTTGGGAGGCTGAGTCGGGTTGATCACCTGAGGTCATGAGTTTGAGAACAGCCTGGCCAATATGGTGAAACACTGTCTCTACTATTGGGGAGGCTGAAGCAAGAGAATCACTTGAACCCGGGAAGAGGAGGTTGTAATGAGCCGAGATCACGCCATTGCATTGCAGCCTGGGTGACAGATCGAGACTCCATCTCAAAAAAAAAAAAAGAAAAAAACTCCCTGGTTTTAGAGCTCAGTGCCGAGTTATTTTATTTTTGGAACCGGCAGCCTTAGACCAACAGCCCTATAGAACCAGTGACCTGGAGGTATGGCACAGGATCAAGGAGGCCTCAGGTAGTAGATAGCATGATGCCTCTGCCTTAAACATGGTGTACTTGAAGAACGCTAATTTCCACCCACATATCTAATTACAGCTTACCATTACAGAGAGCATTTTATTCAAGGATCTCCAAAACACACTTGCCAGTCAAATGTCCTAGTTGCCATATTGCAAGTAGAGATAGGGAAACAGAGCTCAAGTAACTGGATCAATTAGTGCAACAGGCATGATTAAAAATCATAGCTAGCAACTATGAGGGTCATTGTCTTACGTACGTTTCTCCCTGTAGTTTGAAACACATACCTCAACTATTATTCTTTAAATTAACCGAAGAATACGTGCTGTGGAGGCTTTTTTCTTGGAAAAATTATTAAGACATATTGAACCATCTTGGAAAAGTATTAATAAAACACATTCGACCACAAAGAAGTCTCACCAATTTGCCTTAGTCCATTCATAGCAATACAGTAAATCTGACAGAGCTTATGTTTCAGGGAAAACTCTTACAAAGGGCCAAAAGGGGTGGAGAGAGTGCTGTAATGACTCAAGCTATCTCCTGCCAGACACAAGAAACAAGGATAAAAATTCCTTACAGATGACTCCATAACCTACTTCTCATTTGTGAAAGTTAATCCATCCTGCGCTAAATAAGTGATATATCACATCATCTTTATTCTAACAGCAAATGTTCCAATGGTATGGGCACCAAATTAAGCAATCCAAGTGGAAAATGCTGTTCTTATTGTCTATGTTTATTAAAAATGTACCAGCCAAGAATTTTGGCTGCCTACAACCATTTCCATCCTTTTGGATGGCAGCCTGCCAGCTCACAAGTTGGTCATAGCATTGCCTTTTGGATTCAGATATTGCAATGGGTGGCCTGACCTCCCAAGGTCATTCTGTGGAAGGGCAATTTGTTGGCTGTGACAAAATGTTATTGCTTCTTGTTCATATTTGGTTTAACATTCAAAGAGGGCAAAAGGGATACTTGAGGTAGGAAGTCACAGACTAATTCTGGTCACAAAGGAAATGCTGTGGAATGTGTTACCATATAGAATAAAAGAATTTTAGAGATGGAAGGAATCTTTAGTCTAGCCCACTCATCTTTCAGAAAAGAACTGTGAGACCCACAGAGGTTAAGTAACTTGCCCACAACTTATACTCAGGATTTCCAATTATTGGTTCATTGTCCCTTCTACCGTATCAAACTACCTTCCTACAGGATAAGAGTGCATTAAGGCAATAACAAGTAAAGCTGATTCTCTTCTCATAAACTCTGCTTAAAAATTAGGCCTGGGCCTGGCATGGTGGCTCATGCTTGTAAACCCAGCACTTTGGGAGGCTGAGGCAGGCAGATTGTTTGAGCCCAGGAGTTCGAGACCCAGCCCGGGCAACATGGTGAGATCCCGTTTCTATAAAATGTTTTAAAAATTAGTCAGGTGACCAGGCACGGTGGCTCAATGCCTGTAATCCCAGCAGTTTCGTAGGCCAAGGTGGATGGATCACAAGGTCAGGAGTTCAAGGCCAACCTGGCCAACATAGTGAAACCCTGTCTCTTTTAAAAATACAAAAAATTAGCCAGGCATGGTGCCTGTAATCCCAGCTACTCAGGAGGCTGAGGCAGGAGAATCACTTGAACCCAGGAGGCAGAGGTTGCAGTAAGCCAAGATCGCACCACTCTACTCCAGCCCGGGTGACAGAGCAAGACCAGGTCTCAAAAAAAAAAAAGAAGAAACATACTGAGTTCTTAACATCAAGTATATAGACCTCAACTTTCCCTCAGAGAAAATTTTCACCCCTGCTTTTTTTTTTTTTGAGACGGAATCTCGCCCTGTTACCCAGCCTGGAGTGCAATGATGATCTCGCCTCACTGCAACCTCTGCCCCCCAGGTTCAGGTGGTTCTCCTGCCTCAGCCTCCTGAGTAGCAGAAATTACAGGTGCATGCCACCACTCCTGGCTAATTTTTTGTATCTTTAGTAGAGATGGGGTTTCACCATGTTGGCCAGGCTGGTCTCAAACTCCTGACCTCGTGATCCACCTACCTTGGCCTCCCAAAGTGCTGGGATTATAGACGTGAGCCACCATGCCCAACCTTTTTTTGTTTGTTTGTTTGTTTGTTTGTTTTTTTTTGAGACGGAGTTTCGCTCTTGTTACCCAAGCTGGAGTGCAATGGCGCGATCTCGGCTCACCGCAACCTCCGCCTCCTGGGTTCAGGCAATTCTCCTGCCTTAGCCTCCTGAGTAGCTGGGACTACAGGCACGCGCCACCATGCCCAGCTAATTTTTTGTAGTTTTAGTAGAGACGGGGTTTCACCGTGTTGACCAGGATGGTCTCGATCTCTTGACCTCATGATCCACCCGCCTCGGCCTCCCAAAGTGCTGGGATTACAGGTGTGAGCCACCACGCCCGGCCTGTTTGTTTGTTTTTTTAAGATGGAGTCTCGCTGTGTTGCCCAGGCTGGAGGGCAGTGGTGAGAGCTCTGCTCACTGAAACCTCCGCCTCCAGTATTCAAGCAATTCTCTTGCCTCAGCCTCCCCAGTAACTGGGATTATAGGCACTCACCACCACGCCCAGCTGATTTTCATGTTTTTAGTAGAGACAGGTTTTACCATGTTGGTCAGGCGGATCTTGAACTCCTGACCTCAGGTGATCTACCTGCCTTGGCCTCCCAAAGTGCTGGCATTACAGGCATGAGCCCCTGCGCCCAGTCACCCCTGCTTAATATCACAGTAGGAGGCCTGCTCCAAGCCCCCGGTGTACAGTACACAGACATCACATTGGCCTATACATTTGTTAGCAGTGTGTACTCAGAAAATGAAACAAAACTGGCTTCTGTTGAAGATGAGTTTGCTGCAGGAGTGTTGTCAGTCTGGCTCTGAGGGTTCACTTGGAACAGGCCTTGTTTAAATTCATCCGATAGCATCAGTGTAGGCTCGTCCTCCATTTATGGGCATGAGGAGGATGCATGACTAATGCTACTCAGCAGTCAGGAAATCAGTGCTAAGGATTGTAGGCACAGTCTCCCCCATCACCCAAAAAAAGGCTCTCTCTCGAAAAATTAAGAGTTACTTTACGGATGGGTGAGGAAGAGAAGGTAGTTTGGAGTGAACTTGATTGTACACTTTCTACTTACATGTAACAGTATTTTCTTTTGTGGCAGTTAGTT